ACCCTGGACAGGTGTATCCGTACCCTGGACAGGTGTATCCGCACCCTGGACAGGTGTATCCGTACCCTGGACAGGTGTATCCGTACCCTGGACAGGTGTATCCGCACTTTTACCGGTGTGAGATTAATAGAATCTTTCACCCCCTTGGGGGTGAGACAGGGTAATCTCAACCCTCGGGGTAAGACTCTCAAGTTGTCAAACACGAGGCTTGCCGACTGTTTGACAGCTTAAGAATCTTTCCCCGAGGGTTGAGATTACACTGTCTCACTCCCAAGGGGTGAATGATTATTTTTCTCTTACCCTATTTTCCCTCTTATGTATTTTATATAGACGTTAAATCAATGTAATACAATGTTGATGTGTCGCGGCTGAATTGTCGACGTGACTTCATTGTATTGTTGCCGTGACGTCATGGTATTATTGCTATGACGTCATACAATTGTTGAGAACGTGCAAAGAACACGTGTAGCTTGTCTCAACCCTAGGGTGAGATAAGAAAATCTCACACCGGTAAAATGGTGGATATCCCTGTCCCTGGTAAGAGAATAATAGAATCGTTCACCCCCTTGGGGTTGAGACAGGGTATTCTCAACCCGAGGGGTAAGATTCTTAAGTTGTCAAACACGAGGCTTACCGAGTGTTTGGCAATTTAAGAATCTTTCCCCAAGGGTTGAGATTCCCCTATCTCACCCACAAGGGGGTGAATGATTCTTTTTCTCTTACCCTGTTCACCCAATGTGTATCATATACACAATGTAATGATAACGTTACATGCTAAATTCAGGTTTGACATGACGTTGATGGATTGTTGACGTGACGTCATTGTATTGTTGAAGTGACGCCATGCCATTGTTATGAATAGGGGAATCCCCCCGTCTCAACCCTAGGGTGAGACAAGGAAATCTCACACCGGTAAAAGTGCGGATACACCTGTCCAGGGTAAGAGAATCCATTAATCTCCGCCACGACATCCCCGCGATGGCTTATTAACTGAAGAAAAAACATATCTATTTGTAGTGTAGGCATGAAGTAATAATAAACAAATACCCGGATTTAAAATGAAAACAGTAAAACACGGCGTTTGTAATTATGTTAATTATTTATTAAGTAATCACCATTCAACCAGATAATAGAATAGACAGAAATCCGTATTTTCTGCTGTGAATTCTAACCATATTCCAATCTCATTATTTGTTAGTAGGAAGTAATGTATTCAGTGATATATCGTCCAGGTTTTTTTTACCGGAAGTGACGTCCTGATATTTCGCCTAGTTATTTGTTTACAGTTATTCCCCTCCACTATTTGTTTACAAAACAAATGACTTACTGATCTCGACCGGTTTTATTAGCTTACCTGGTCCGAAGGACCGTAGCGTCCGTCGTCCGTCTGTCCGTCAACTTTTCCTTTAAAACGCTACTTGTCATGAACGACTGAGCAGATTTTGACCAAATTTGGTCAGAAGCATCCTTGGGGGAGGGGGAACAAATTTTGTATAAATGGTGGGTCTGGCCCCCCTGGGGCTGAGGGGCGGGGCCCAATAGGGTAAATATAGCAAATTCTTTAAAATCCTTCTTCTTCTGTAGGAATGAAAGGATTTGTTCCATATTTGGTCTGAAGCATCCTTGGGAAAAGGGGAACGAATTTTGTATAAACCGTGGGTCTGGCCCCCCTTTGGGCTGAGGGGCGGGGCCCAATAGGGTAAATATAGCAAATTCTTTAAAATCCTTCTTCTTCTGTAGGAATGAAAGGATTTGTTCCATATTTGGTCTGAGGCATCCTTGGGTGAAGGGGAACCAATTTTGTATAAACCATGGGTGTGGGTCCCAGGTGCCTGAGAGGCGGGGCCCAGTAGGGGAATCATAGCAGATTATTCTTTAAAATCCTTCTTCTGTAGGAATTGGCCCATATTTGGTGTGGACCATCCTTGGTAAAGGGGAACCAATTTTGTATAAACGGTGGGTGTGTCCCCTCTGGGACCTGAGGGGCGGGGCCCAATAGGGGAATTATAAGTAAAACCTTTATAATCCCACTTCTACCATAGGGATTAAGGGATATTTTCCTAATTTAGTCTGGAACATCCTTAGGCAAAAGGGACTCAATTTCGTATAAACAGCGAGTGTGGCCCCCTGTGGGCAGAAGGGAGGTGCCCAATAGGGGAAACATAGCAAATTCTTCAAAATCCTTCTTCATCTGTAGGAATGACAGGATTTTGTCCAAATTTGGTATGAAGCAGCCTTGGGTGAAGGGGAAACAATTTTGTATAAGCAGTGGGTGTGGTCTCCCAGGGGGGAAAAGGGCGGGGCTCAATTGGAGAAATAGAGGTAAAACCTTT